ATCATTTAGTGGTTTTTCATTAGATAATGAGAAGCAAAAGTGTTCACTAAATAATTACGTAACAAGTTTAGGATCTTCGTAAACTTGTTTGTCCCCAATGAATATGTTCCCCCTTGATTTAGAACGTTGAAGTTTATTTTGAAAGAGTATGGTGAGTACAGGGGAGTCATTATTAAGTTTGACAGCATGTTTTCCTTGTGCGACTGTTTTTTGTGTACGTAGTGCCTCTATTCGGAAAAAAGAGGGAAAGTCATTAAAGTTATAGAATCGAGTACAATTTCTTTGAAGACGTCTTCGTGTATCAACCCATATATACAGATCTTTAGAGAAGTTAGGTCCCCAGTATTCTAAAGGTGAGATTTTATTGATGATACTTTTGATGTTGTGATAAAATATATTGGTTAGTGTGTCAGTATTGTTTGAAATTAAGAAAGTTCCCCAATCAGTGCTCCTTAGGTAATTGTGGGAGTTTTTCCAATCAACCTTGCGAAGTGTTTCAGTTTTACGTCTACCGGTTGTGGTTTTTATATTAAGGCTTTAAATGGCAGTGTTATGATTACTACCTGGAAACGTTTTTCCAACACGTACAGTATTGGGTGCGGGGCCACTGGTAAAGACTATGTCCAAGATATTTTGATGTCTGGTAGGCTACTGGCATACTGAATCCACTGTCCAAGCTCTAAACATTCAGTAAATGATTCATAACTTTTCGGCGCCTTGACTGGGAACCAATAGATTTCAGGAATGTTGAAGCCACCAAAATAAGCTTGCCTGTGAATGGAAAGGATGATGCTAGTGAGGGTACCTCTGATAATACTTCTATTTCATTTGTTGATGCGTTAAGTTGACGGCAGACACAGAGGGACAATAAGGTAACAGAATTCGATGGCTTTAAGTCAGTACACATCGAATATTTCCGTTCGTTTAGTTTAGGCATATCACATAAAAGTGAGTTTAAGCTAAAGGGAGAGTAAACAAGGCATCCTCCACCTCGTCCTTTCAATCTATCACTTCTGTGTGGGAAATAGTTATCAAGAGATGTACTTAGGTCGGAAATATTACTGTTAGTCCATGCTGACGGAGATCGATGAACTGCTCGACGATCAGTGACATAACTGCTTGACTCAGTGACATTTCGCTGGCCCAACGGATTAATCGGAACTGGTTAGTAGTTGAAAGGGAAGCACGACGTACCCACTCGTAATCTGGTGTGGACGCGTGAACGAGCTGCTTGAGCTAGATGTGTCCATTAAAACTAATGGGGTCAGTATCAAGTGTCGAGGCCTTACAGAGTTATTGATTCTAGGGATTGATTTTCTGCAACAACAGTTTTCTGAACAGATAATCGCTAGAAACAACTACTTATTTGTGTAGCGGTTCACGTCTAGACAAAACGTACTTGTAATGCTAGGAAAGTACGCAGATTAACGTAATTGGACTGTAAAATAGAAGAACAAGAGAAAAATCGAGTTGACGGCTTGACAATACCACACAATTCAGTTACATATAATAACGAGAGCAACTAATAACAATCAGAATAGAAAAAGACTCAGATTCAGACAAGATTTGATTCAAAGCTAAAAGCAGACAGTTTAAGTCGCTAAAATATACATATCTGAATACATTTGTTGTTTGTGCCATTGGCTTTGCACGTTTTGCTGTGTAAATAAGACGTTACTAATATAGGGGGCTATGAGCCTATTGGCTTTGGCCTGTAGGAAGAACGATGGCGCATGCGCTGATAACATGAATGCTGACAGTGACGAATTTGTCAGTGTAGTACCTGCTGTTACGAGATGCCTCAAACACCCGACTTTGATTGACGGAAAAGTGAAATCTCCGTTAACATTAACGAGGGGAGAAGTACCACCAGACACTGATATTGGTAACCATGCACTTCTAGTGGAAGCCGAAGATCTGGATAAAACCGTCACCGTTCGAAATAATCCCGGTGTCCTGAGGGATGAAAAATGGACTACAGTACGGAGAAAACAAAACGAAAAGGAAAAGCTGTAGGCAGTACGCAGCTGGTGAGAAAGTCATTGGTGGACTCCCATTGTGGGTCACAAAATGCACTATCAAAATCCTATAGTAAGAGGGAACAACACTCAGGCGTGACTGAAAAGAAGGATCTAATATCATCGAATATTATTGTAAGCAAATTGCTGGAGTCAAACGACATTGATCCCAAAATTAGACATGCGCATGATTAAGAGAGGCTGGGAGAATATATTCGTAGTATCTCACCAGATAGCTCTAAAGGAGTTTAGGTCAAAAAGCTGGTTAGAATAGGCAAGAGGGCAGAAGACAATGCTGAACCTCGACCATGCAGAGTCCTTAAGGTAATCGTAGGATCGAAGAAGCAACGGAATCTTTTGTTAAGTAGCGCCTGTTGTCACGACAATACAGACATCCGAGTTAGACCTGATATGTCTCTCGAAGATGCATGATAGCGGTACTTGTGAAGTCATTAGCTGTAAATTAGCTATCGGATGTAGTACATTTATACTCGGTGTCATCCATCGCAGCTCAGTCTGCTTAGCGTATGACTTTATTTTAGAGCACATTCATCTTTGGAGTGCAAATACCGGATGCTTGATAATAGGAGACTTTGAAGCACCTGATATTAGTTGGACTGAGATGACGACAGAAAGATTCAAAAACTCTTTTGATAGTAGGTTCCTGATAACAATAATGGAGCATGAATTAGTGCAGCATGTAACCAATCCCAGACGTTTTGGACTTGGTAATCACTCATGAGACTGAGGATATTTTTGACCAAAATATTCTTCCGCCGTTCATGAACAGCGATCACGCTGTTTTATCATTCATGTTTAAACGAAGGACATGTTATACGATCAGGTTACACCTCGCCCAAATGTATGGAAAGCTAACATGTCAGCCATTCAGGAATGCGCTGCTAAGACAGATTGGTTTGTAGATACTAGCTTATCAGTTGAAGAAGCATGGTCTGTATTTAAAGGTAAGTTTAATTTAGTTACGTCCTCGTTCATACCATACCTAGTGCCGCGAAGACCGAATAACAGTCCACCATGGATAACTAAACCAGTCAGGAAACTTCTTAGAAGAAGGAAGATGCACTGGAATATGTTCATCTATACTGGCTTAAAACAATAAAAATTAAGAATACCTGTAAAGAGTTATTAAGTAAGACTAGACGATCATATGAAAAACAATTGGTTAGGGATTCTAGATATAGTCTGAAACAGTTATTCTCGCATGTAAAAAGGCGAACTCAGAGATGCAATAGAATTCCATCACTTTTGATACAAGAAAATCCGTTAATTTAGAAAAAATTGATACCGGGAAAGCTGAAGCTTTATCGGAATATTTCAGTAAATTGTTTTCTATCAGTACTGATTGTGATTGTGGCGGCTCACTGATGGGCCTTGCAGTCATTGAGAAAGGTAATGTCTTACGGCTATTTCGGCATCTCAAACCTAATAAGTCCAGTTGTCCTGATGATATTCATCTTAAGATTATGAAAGCCATATCAGACGTAGTTGCCGAAGCATTAGCGATACTGTTTGACATGTCTCTGAGGCAGTCCAGACTGCCCAGAGACTGGAAAGACGTTATAATAAGTTTGGCGTATAAGTCTGGGAGTAGGGATTTAGTTAGTAACTATAGACCCGTTAGCTTAACTAGTGCACTTGCAAAACTGATGGAAAAAATCATTCGGATATCTTTTATAAACTACGTTGAAGGACAAAATCTTTTTTTCCAGGGAACAACATGGTTTTTGGAGAGGCATATCATGCCTGACAAATCCTTTCATTACAAGAGAAGATTGGGCTGCTGCAAAAGATCGGAATATTCCTGCGGATGTGATCTTCATAGATCTAAGTAAGGCTTACGATAAGGTCTCCCATTCTGGTCTGAAATTCAAACTGGAACGTTTTTGATAAGTAACTTTCTTCATGACAGGAGACAAAGGGTGAGAGTTAATGGTGCTCTCTCCTCTTGGGTACCTGTAAAAATTGGAGTTCCCCAAGGTACAATCCTCGATCCTCTTCTCTTTTTACTTTATGTTAATGAATTACCAACCGTAGCAAAATCATTCGTTCTATTCTTCGGTTGTGACATAAAAGTTTGGAGACCCATACACAGCATGTCGGATAGGGTAGTATTACAGGGTGATCTTAACTCATTAGTGGCATAGTTGGACAGGTGGTCACTAGAAGTAAATCCTAATAAGAGTGCGGTGATGTAATTAAATAACTATGATGAATAGTATATACTATACAATATATGGATTCATGCTACCCAAAGTAAGAAACTATAAAGATTTCGGAGTCATATTGAGTAGTGATCTCAAAGCCACTGGTTACTGTAAGGTTGCTAGTGCGAGAGGCTATAAGGTATTATGGTCTATTCGTAGGTCTTCTCAGTATTTAGATGATGAAATGTTTAGATTAATATACCCTATTTATGTGCGACCACATTTAGAATATGGAATTCAAGCAGCAAGCCCTTGTTTCAAATATGAAGCACATATGCTGGAAAGAGTCCAACGACGAGGTACTAAGATGGTCTTTCTGGCCTGTCTTATGAAGACAGAGTGAAACACCTTAACTTATTCCCGTTATCCTACCGTAGAATACGGGGTGATCTAATATTGACTTATCGTATACTGAACGATGACCTTGGTATTAACATGTCTTATCCTCTACTTCCGTCTAGGACTAATGATTTGAGAGGACATTCGAAGAAAGTTCAGAAATTGAGATCAAATCGTTTACGTCTGGAGTTTCATTTCTCGCACCTAGTTGTGAATTACTGGTATTCTCTACCGGAACACGTAATATTGGCACCCGTTGAAATATTCAAAAAGAGATTGTATCTCCACAGTATTACGAACTGCAAGGATTTTTATAGGTTGATAGACCTCCTATCCTTATTACTGAAGACTGAGGACTGAAGACAAGTGGTCACTGTACAACATGTGATTCTAAGTGCGCGAGATTTGGAATTGTCAAATGTCCAACAAAGTGGGTAACTTTAGGGTTTAGCAGGAAGTGGGGTTCTTCCTGTGTATAGTTTGTTACTTTTTATATCGTTTATCAACTCCTCTTTGGGGAAGTGATCATTTAAATTCATGAATCGACTGTAGCTTATAACTCCGAGATGAATATTCTCAAGCACATAACTTAATTAGTGTAAACTACAGTAATGTGAGTGAAAAATGGACTGTTTTGAAAGGCACTTTTTTTTTTACGAGAAATCCAGTGTAGATTCAATTGAGAGTGCAGTTTTGTGGAAGTAGTCTTCACTCCTTGAAAATACCAATATGACTCATTTCTCACAAATCGACATAAAAAGTCTACTTTGTTTTGAAAAGTCCATTACCTAGTCTGTTTCTCGTCACAACGTTTGCATGGTTTGTCACCTGTTCTGGAAACTTTTACCACCTGCCTTTCTAAACAGGTTGTATGTTGGAAGTGATTAATATATTCGTTAGCATTTTCACAGTTTACAGAAATATTGACAATGCTGAAGTATCGATCACGCGTTTTTGTTGTCACTAATAGTCATATATTTACTGAACCCCGATATGTTTTGAAAGTAGCATTTCATGCTGGGTTTACTAAGCAAGTACACTCGTTTATTTATTTATTTAAACATGAACATTGGTACAAGAAGGAACCAAATAGATAGGTGTCACATAAATCATTTGGTTTGTGTGAGGGCGGGAATGCTACCCGGGTTCTCAACCGAAGCATGAGGTTTACTTGTGGGGTCACACCCAGAGGCTTCTACTTGAAGGTCTGATCCGCAAGACAGTAGAGCAACGTCAGGAGATGCAATCATATGGCAGTCGGCGACCAACGGTTTGCTCATACGCCATTTGTTCGTTCAGGGTTTGAAATCACTGTTTTTCAACCCCCCTGTGTGGTCTCTAACCCGGTTAAAGCGTCGGACATTCGTTTTTCGTCTTCTCAATTTCGTAAACAACCCCACTGCAAGAAAGCAGTGAGTAGTACTTCTCTGGTAATGACTGTACGCGCGTGGTCACGTGAAAGCATTTCGTAAAGGAGAGCGGACTCTACTCTCGGCCGTACCAGGGCATTTGGAGGTCATTGTCACTTAAGCTCATAATTGTCGTTGGTAGCATTCCAAAATAAAACAAGCATCGTTTAGTGCTCTAAACTTTCTCTTTTGACTTCATACTCAAGTGTCATCATGGCCGATGATTCAAGCGCACTAAACACTGTCCTAGGTTTACTGAAACCTCGCTCCAAACTACACATTGGAGCCCTCAACGTACGTACCTTATGTCAAATCGACCAACAGGCCTCCTTGGCTAAGACCCTAGTATCTCGTGCCATTGATGCATGCTGTCTCCGAAACACGTATACAGGGTCCTGCGGTCATTCACTGGCAGGTATAGGCATGCCCCCAAATGCCCTGGTACGGCCAAAAGTGGGGAGAGTCCGCTCTCCCTCTCGAAATGATCTCACATGGCCACGCGTATATAGCCCCTGCCAGGGAAGTCCTACTCACTGCCTTCACGTGGCGGGGGTGTTGTTTACGAAAATGAGATGACGAAAAGCGAATGTCCGGCGCTTTAACCGGATCCCAAACCAATGGTGCACATGGGCTCCAGTATCCTGAAGGAACAAATGGCGTATGAACCAATCTTTGGTCACCGGCTACCATAGGACTGCATCTCCTCACGATGCTCCACAACCTTGTGGGTCAGACGTTCAGGTCGAAGGCTCGGGGTGTGGCCCCCTAAGAAAACCACCTGCTTCGGTTTGGGCACCCGGGCAGTATCACAGCCCTCACACAAATCAATTGAGATTTGTGTGGCGCATATGTATTTGGTGCCTCCCTGTACCTATACTTATGTGTTAAAATAAAATAATAAATAAGGTATAGGCATAGCACTAACTATACGAACTAGTTTAACATAGTCTATACTTAGTTAACACTTGTTGCATATATCCAAGGGTTTTCAGTACACCGGCCGTATATAGGATTTGGAAATTGATGATAGACTAGACGAGTCTAGGCATGTCATGTGACCGTACTCACACATTGCCTTAAGGTGAAACGGTATTTGAGAAATAAACGGGACACGTTATTGAGGGAAGTCGATTATAGTTCCAATAGAGGGCTCAATCTATATGTTTTTGTCTGGGTCAGAAAAACAGTTGTTTGTATACCAATTATTAGTGTATCTAATTATCTAGTTTTACCAATTACAACTTCCTAGCAATTTATATCTTCTCCATAGCATATCTGATTGACAACCACATAGGAAATGCATGTGTGTGGATCTGACGTCGTGAATCAGCTCAAAAACAATAGTTTTTTTTATATTATTGCCTAAGACATAAATATTTCCAAAATTTCTTATTCTGGTCAATCCATACACCTTAAAATCCTGAATTTTATGCTTGTGAGTAGCCCAGACTAACCACTAAATCGTATCCAAAATGTTAAAACAGTTTACGAATATTTTGAGATCGATCGTTACAAATAACAATAAGTTGAAGTAATGATATATATATATATATATATATATATATATATATATATATATACGCTCGACCGTAGCTGCTACCTTGACGTGGTGGTCAGGGTTGCCTATCGTGATGACCCAACCGAGCTATATTGGCTGGAACACATGTTCCTGCAGGTTCTACCATGCCACGCAGGTCGATTGGAGGACGGTAAGACTAAAAGCAGCAACTCAAGGTCTGAGGGCGAAGTCGTACTGCTGAATGTAGAGGGGTGTGGCAGCAGTAAGGTGTTTCCCTCGGACAACCAGCATCTGCAGCGATGCTGCCTTCTCACAAGGAAGGAAGGAGTTCGAAAGGGTCGACCCTAAAAATGTCACACCTCACCTTACCCCACGGATTTCCGTTTCCGGCGGTAAGGCCCTTTGAAGAACGGAGCTAACACATTAAAAACCTCCCACAAAAAGGCCGTGCGCGACCAGCCTCAAGCAGTTGTCCCTTGGGCTCTGCGGTCACGCACCCAGGTCGATAAGACCAACACTAATCCGATTTCCTTTTCAGGTCCTCAAGAAATACCCTTCCACGGTGTGGGCAACCGGGAAGTGATATCAGCCCTCATACCCGTAACAGCACACGAGACCAAGTTGGTCACATTCAAATCCTTCCTACACCTCCTAATAACTCTCTTATCTCCACGACTAACCCTTCTCACGTCCCTTTATCACCTCGCCCCGCTAGTGCGAACGATTCGAGTACGCGGAATGTTATTCCTGGTCTCCTGAAACCACGCTCTAAACTACACGTAGGAGCTTTCAACGTCCGAACACTGTGCCAAATAGGACAACAGGCTTCCTTAGCTAAGACTTTAGAATCTCGCTCCATCGATGTGTGCTGCGTCTCCGATACGCGCACACAGGATCTGAGCAGTGTCATTCATTTGACCGCACCATGTCAAAGTAACGAACCAACTCGATTTACGCCTCGTGTATCTGGAAGCCCTGATGCTGCTTCCCGTGGCCTCGCTGGCGTAGGTATAGCATTGAGTCCTAGGGCGGAACTAGCTCTTTTAGACTGAATCCCAGTAGACAGTCGTTTGTGCGCTGTCCGACTAAACGGAACAGTAAGGACTCGGGAAGATAGGGACACTCGTCGTTGCCTTTTCGTTGTCTCTGCCTACTCTCCCACTGACTGCAGCTCAGATGATGTAAAAGATGAGTTTTACAGAAAGCTTTCCGACCTTCTCCGAAAAGCTAGGCGTTCTGATGTAGTAATAGTGACTGGTGACTTTAATGCTCAAGTAAGTAAACTAAGCGAAAGGAAAAGACACCTGGGTGGATCTTATGGTGTCGCGGCTCAAAGAACAGATAACGGCGACCGTCTGTTTCTTGCAAACACTAACTTTAAGCATAAGGAAAAACATCTTTTGACATGGCGACCCCCTAATTCGTTCCAACGCTGGACCCAAATAGATCACATCGCTATCAGCCACCGATGGAGGGGCTTGATAGAAGACTGTCGCTCATTCTGGAGCACATGCTTAGATTCAGATCATGCTCTAGTGCTAGCGCGTATTTGTCCGCGTCTTACTGGACGTAGGAAAGATGGCGCAAGGAAACCCCTTAGGGTTCTACTTAATGATAGTCAAGCTAAAAGTATATTTCAGGAACAACTACAAAAACAGTTAGGCAGTCATGTATGTGATGCCTAGCCATAGACAGCGTGGAATGACATCCGAAAAGCCGTAGAAACAGCAGTGATGTCTGTTTGTATGGTAAACCATAAGGTTAGGGAGAAACACTGGATCTCAGCAGCATCTACCGCACTGATAGATGCTCGAAAACTCATTCCATCTGGCTCTGAACATAAAGAAGAGCGGAGTCAGCTTAAGCGTAAGCTGACTAGAAGCCTTCGCAATGATCGTGAACAATGGTGGGTAGCGAAAGCAAGAGAGATGGAAAAGGCAGCGGCAATAGGTAACAGCAGGCAACTGTTCAGACTTGTTAAGGAAACCGGTATTAGGAACCCAACTGTTAGCGAAACAATCGCAGAGAAAGATGGACATATTATTCATTCTCAATCCAGGAGATTGGATCGATGGGCAGAATACTTTAGGGATCAGTTCAACTGGCCTTCAGCCACACTTCGGTTCCCCACGATCTCCAGTCGACCTGAATGGCAAGTTGATGTAAGTCCTCCGACTCTTTACGAAGTTGGAAAAGCTATAGGAAATCTGAAGCGTAGGAGGGCAGCAGGCCCTGACAGGTTTACCCCTGAGATTTTAAGGATGGCGGTCCAGTATTAGCAGCGAGATTGACTGAGGTCTTAGGTAGAATCTGGGAACTGGACGTAATCCCATCTGACTGGTCTCAATCACTGATTGTGCCAGTCTATAAGAAAGCACAAAAGTCTTCTTGTGACAATCACAGAGGAATTAGTTTGACTAATATAGTGTCTAAAATATTGGCTTCAATATTACTTCGACGCCTAACCAAAGCTCGTGAAGAGCAGACTAGAGAAAACCAGGCTGGTTTTCAACCCGGACGTGGTTGTATAGATCAGATATTCACACGATGTCAGGTCCTAGGACATAGACACACATTCAGACCGCCACAATGGTAGTATTTCTCGACCTTAAGGCGGCATTTGACTCAGTTGATCGTGAGGTTCTATGGCAGTGTTTGTCACTGAAAGGAGTACCAAAGAAGTACATCAACCTTATAAAGGCCTTCTACTCGAACACAACTGGTCGAGTGAGAGCTTATGGCGAACTGTCATCAGAGCTGATTACCTCAAGTGGTGTTCGTCAGGGCTGTCCACTCTCTCCATTCTTGTTTAACTTTGTCGTTGACGTGCTTTTAGAACTAACACTTTGCACATCTGACTTTCCAGGGGTTGAACTTCTACCGAAAGATTCACTTGTTGACTTAGAGTATGCCGATGACATAGTTCTATTTGGTGAAGACCCTGACAAAATGCAGAGTCTGCTGACCACTCTAAGCAACAACGCAGGCATGTTCGGCATGCGATTTTCTCCCTCGAAATGCAAAATGTTGCTTCAGGATTGGGTTGCGTCGACACCCGAACTAGTGATAGGGAGTAAAGTAGTTGAGCGTGTCGGCCGCTTCACTTATCTCGGAAGTCTCATCAGCCCTTGTGGTTTGATGTGTGACGAAATCTCAGTACGGATACAGAAGGCTCGACTGGCTTTTGCCAACTTGCGTCATTTGTAGCGTAGGTGAGATATCCGTCTACCAACCAAAGGACGCGTTTACTGCGCGGCAGTTCGTTGTATCCTACTTTATGGCAGTGAAACATGGCCAGTAAGAGTAGAGGATATTCGTAGGTTACTAGTATTTGATCATAGGTGTCTTCGAAACATTGCTCGTACATTCTGGGACCATCGAGTAAGTGATGCAGTTGTTAGGAAACGGGTACTAGGTAAGGATGGCAAATCACTTGGTGAAGTAGTGAAATTTCATCAGTTGAGTTGGCTGGGACATGTGTTACGTATGCTCAACCACCGACTGCCCCGACGTGCGATGTTTTATGGTGTAGGAGTAGGTTGGAAGAAATCTGGGGGCGGCCAGACTAAAACATGGCACAAATCTATGAAGTCACTGACAAGTGGACTGAACCATGTTGGTAGGCATAGACTACCTGGTTGGGGACCGCGAGATGATAGCAACCGATGGTTAGAGAGCTTGAATGACATGGCTCAAAATCGTTTGCAATGGCGCAGGTGCATCCACTCTCTGTGTTCTTTCAAACTCTAATCTTCTGAAGTCTTCATGTCCTTTATTTTCTTTCCAAATCTATTCCACTGGATATTTCTCCTTAAATAACATCATCAAACCTTAATGTTCCCTATCACTACCTCTTCCACTACGGGATTTGAATCGATAACTGAGTCTCTGTGCTAATGTGGTTTGGCAACTCGAACTGATGTACGTACGTACGAAGTTCCACGTTGTTACTTACTGACTGACAAACACTTGTAGGATGGGTCCTTGTTAAAAGTTGCCTATGTGCTGTCCAGTTAAACAGTTCTGTAAGAACTCGGAAGGATAGGGACATACATTTATTTTTCGTCGTTTCTGCCTACACTACCACTGACTGCAGCCCGGATGAAATGAAAGATGACTTTTTCAGAAAGCTTTTTGAACTTCAAAAAGCTGAACGCTCAGACGTAGTACTCGTAGCAGGTGGCTTTAATGCCCATGTAGGTAGCTTAAACCAAATAGAAAGACATTTAGGCGGGTATTTTAGTATTCTGGCTCAGAGGACAGATAATAGTAACCGTCTGTTGAAACTGTGCCCAGACAATCGTTTATTTTTAGCAAACACTAATTTCAAGCATAAAGAGAGACGTCTAACATGGCGACCCTTTTCACCAAACCAACAATGGACTCATGAGACTATATTGCCATCAATCATCGTCGGAAATGTTCGATAGAAGACTTCCGCTCGTTTTGGAGTACATGTTGGCCCCCAAATGCCCTGGTACGGCCGAGAGTGGGGGGAGTCCGCTCCCCCTCACGAAATGCTCTCATATGGCCACGCGTATATAGCCTCTGCCAGGGAAGTCCTACTCACTGCCTTCACGTGGCGGGGGTGTTGTTTACGAAAATGAGATGACGAAAAGCGAATGTCCGGCGCTTTAACCGGATCCCAAACCAATGGTGCACATGGGCTCCAGTATCCTGAAGGAACAAATGGCGTATGAACCAATCTTTGGTCACCGGCTACCATAGGACTGCATCTCCTCACGATGCTCCACAACCTTGTGGGTCAGACGTTCAGGTCGAAGGCTCGGGGTGTGGCCCCCTAAGAAAACCACCTGCTTCGGTTTGGGCACCCGGGCAGTATCACAGCCCTCACACAAATCAATTGAGATTTGTGTGGCGCATATGTATTTGGTGCCTACTTGTACCGATATTTATGTGTTAAAATAAATAATAAATAATAAACACTAGTTTCAAGCATAAAGAGAGACGTCTAACATGGCGACCCTTTTCACCAAACCAACAATGGACTCATGAGACTATATTGCCATCAATCATCGTCGGAAATGTTCGATAGAAGACTTCCGCTCATTTTGGAGTACATGTTTAGACTCTGATCATGCTGTAGTACGAGCACACATTTACCTGTGCCTCATTGGACGCAGAAAAACCACACTTATAAGATCCTTTAGAATTAAACTGGGTGATGAGAAAGCCGAAAGTAGAACAGCTGAGGTCACCCTTAGGCAGTCATAAAAACGAGGCTGACCCAGATGTTGGTTGGGAAGATATACAAACAGCTGTGGAAACAGCAGTGACATCTATTAGTGATTTAAACTAAAGGGTTACAAAAAAACTAATGGATTTCTTCCAGGTCTATTGCACTATTGGATTCTCGTAAACTTATCCCATCAGGCTCTGAACATGATGAAAAGCGAAAGCAAATCAGATCTAGGGTAACCAAGATTCTAAGGAACGATCGTGAGCAGTAATGGGCAACGAAAGCAGAAGACATGGGAGATGCGGCAACTGTAGGTAACACAAGACAGCTCTACAGACTAATAAAGGAAACTGGAACTAAGAAGTCAAGTGTGAGACTCTTTTGGAAAAAGACGACAATCTTATCTGCTCTCAGTCCAGACGTTTAGAACGATAGTCAAAACACTTTAAGGAGTGGTTCAGCTGCTCCACAACTACCCACCATTCCCAGACAGCGTGAATGGAACTTTAAAGTAGGTCTCCCGACTCTAGCTGAAGTTCAAAAGGTTATAGCTAATATGAAACAAGAAAGAGCAGCTGGCCCAGATGGATTAATTCCAGAGATCTTCAAAGTTTTAGCAATTAGGTTAACTAATATTTTAGCTGAAATCTGGGAATCGAATGTAGTCCCATGTGACTGGTCGCAATCACTGGTCGTCTCAATATATTGGAAAGGACCAAAATCATCCTGTGACAACCATAGAGAGATTAGTTTGACTAATATTCCGTCTAAAATACTAGCCTCAATAATTATCGGGCGTCCAACAAAACTCGAACTGCAAATGCGAAAAAATCAGGTTGGCTTCAAATCTGGTCGCGGTTCAATAGACCAGATATTCATCGTTCGTCGGATTTTAGGACACAGGCATGCTTATCGTAGTCCGATGATAGCAGTCTTTCTTCTACATTCATTTTCTTTTCAAAGATAGACACCGTCTAGAAGGCATCATACTTCAAAAATCTTAGTGCATGTGTTCAGTATGACGTGAAATGAATTGATCAGTGGATGTGATATTACCATTCTTTGTATTTTTGAACCACTTATAGGTCAGTTTAAGTTTCACTTATAGGACAGACCTAGCCATAAATTAATCACCTTAACTACGCCTAGGTATATCATGTGGTCAGTATACAAATCATGTTTGACATCGTGTTACCAGGCAGTAATTTTAAGCTGGAGGCTTCACGATTATAAATACCCGGACATTCGATAAAAACTATTGTCACAAATATTCTCGTAATCCTAGTATTTTTCTGTTTATGTTAATGATGTACCTAAACACAGTTCACTATATTCGCAGGTCGTTAATCCGAAAACAAAAAGAAGTAGATATCCTCGAACAGTTGTCCAGAAGTTAAAGTCTGTCGGGCAAGCTATTGAACCTAATTTGCCAGTCAATGGTGTTTCGGGTGCTGATAAACCATCTTCAAACAATGCATACTGTCCTCATTGGTCTCATGATGACCTAATTTCGGGTGTCAGAAATGGGACACTTCTATCAGTAAGTGTTAGCACCTGTTTTTATTATGTTATATATTTCTTAGGTCGAAGACCTACAAGTTGATACTAAATCAAGTTGGATTGAAATATCAGTTTTTTTTTCTCACTTTCATCCTTACCTCATGTTTTTACACGTATTTTGTATGTAACACTATTCTAACCTCTATACGTCGCGTCATACACCATATTTTGCCTTTACAGTGGCTGTGGTATTAGAGCTTAAATTATCATACTTACACTTAGTATAATTCAGTATACATTCATTTGAATGCTTTAATATCAGGTATCCGTACAACTTTAGATCCAACCTCATCAATACTTAGTCTCGGTCTTGTCAACTCAAGCATATTATTTATTACTTATTTATTTGAACACATAAATATTGGTACAAAGGGGCACCAAATATATGTGCGCCTCACAAAATGAGAATTTTAAGAGTAGGGAAAAAAAGAAAGGAGGGTAAGGAGCTTAAAAAAGAACATTAACGAACAGATTAGTGTAAGGTAGTGTAATAGTAGTAATAATCGGGGAAACGAAAAGGTAGTCAAAACTGATATCTGTTTTATTTTAAGGGACATAGTGTTCTTATTGCTGCAGCTTTTTTCTAATTTGAATGTTAATTTAGTCATTTTATTTTACTGATTTTCAATATTCTTCTTCATTTTACAGGGTAACCTTCGTATCAATCCGAAGAACTTCGAAGATGGATACATAAAGCATCCGGTAAATGAAATTATTATTGAGTTTATTAAAATATGAAGGCTGGTGATGCTGATGTATATATCTCAACTTTAGCATCCAGAAACCGAGCACTACCAAATGATATCGTTGCTGTCATGCTGGAACCAAAGCGTAACTGGAGGGTATGTTCAAATAATCACAATATTTTCCGTACTTCGATGAATGAGTATGTAAAAATCCGGTAGTGCCTTCAAAAACAAAGGAGCCTCGTTCGGCACACTGCCTTGATGTTTTGTCTTCTGAGTTTTGAAACTAGACTGCTGAATAGCTTTGGGTTTAATCTCTTGCACTATCCTTACATTCACGACTGGATCTTTTGTTAAATGATCTAAAAATATTGGTATAAGATTTTGTAGTAACTATTTTGCTAAAATATGCCCTACATATCGCTGTTCGTTAAATAAGTAGTTGCGTTAACGTTTGTTAGTACTAAGTGTCCCAGTTTGTGGTCAAATCAAGTTAAAGTTTCTTATTGGGTATTTTACAGCGATTCAAACCACTAGTTTTATCACTCTTTCGAGTTCATGCTTTTCACTGTATCTACAAACTTCGTGTATCCAGTTATGTCCGTTAGTATATAGAATGAGTAAATGTAATGGTAAGCAATCAAGAATCTTAATTTTATCATCAAAGCTGAAATTGTAACCGGTAAGTGAGCTGGTCGTTTGTAGTACACAGTTACAAACAATATTATCTCTAAATCATTGTTACAGTCAAGTGTATCTTTTGTCTATGCGCTTCCAACTCAACAGTAAACTAATGGAATTTGGGTTTTAATTGAGATTATAAACCGATCAATGTTAGACCATCACTAAAAACCTGGAATAACTGGTTTAGAGGTTATGCATTCACGTGTGAGGCCGAAGGTCCTGAGTTCGAGTCCCGCGTGCGGTATCGTGGATGCGCACCGCTGAGGAGTCTCATATCAGCCATCCAGTGCTTGCAGTTCTTCAGTGGTGGTCTAACTTTGATCGGTTCGTGATCTCAATTAAAACTCAACAATCTCCACAATCGTATATCGGTAATGGAATTTGGGTCTGTTATATGAGCGCCACGAATTTATATCTGACGTAGGTTTGGATCTACATTTTGCACTCTGGCTGATTTAATGTCTGCATAATTTTAATTTTGTATGTTTTGTATTCTTAACTTTCAAAGAGTCATTAACTTTTTTACTTCAATCTGTGATTAAAATATGTAGGAATTTTTGTATTAAAACCTGTTAAACATGCTCTTGTTCAATTGAGTTATCACTCGTGATTAAGTTATGGTCGACCATCATTGTATCGTTCTGGATTCCATATCGCTCAGCAATTGGTAGTTTCTGTAACTCAGTGAAGTTAAGAAAATCATTTCCAAGTGAAGTTTGTCATAGACAGACAGAAATAATAACCACTGGATTAATCTAGAAATTTATCAGCCATTGTTACCTCGGTTATTTTTTCCTACGTATTTCTTACTCTCGTATTCTCAATGTTTGCTGGTTAAATATATATATTTGTGCTTTTTTAGGTATTTGATTCTTTCATCGATGAAGCCACCATGAGAGAAATCGGGGATTCAAATCAGAAGAAGAAACCTAGATATGTTACTTTGGAACAGTTTCTTAAGATTCAACCTACGGGGTTAGAACAAGTATGTGGGTAATCATTTTTGCCTATATACCCAGTTCTCTCCCTTTCTACATAACTATAGACTAGTTACTACATCTACGAACCCACTCACGTAAATTGAGATAGGATACTTTATTCTCCTTTTAGGACCAATTGGAAAATTCTAATACGAAATGGGCTCTATAGCTAACTAGATAGACCAAACGACTGGCATTCTACAATACTTAATTGTTACTAATCCATACGCAAATAAGAAGGAAGACTTGTTAAGAAGATTAGTCAAGACCCCAGAAGAATTAATTTACATTCAAGTTAATTTGATTATATGCCTGTTATATTTGATGATGATAAATTACACCGTCAGATTGAGTAATCGTTACTTAAATGCAAAATCGCAGTTAATTAGTTAATACAATGTGACTGCAGTAATGATCAAACATCTATCTTCATACTGATTGAATTAAAATAAATTCATTGCACTGAAAGTCAGTAAATGAGATTCACGTAAATTAATATGCGAATTGATCTTTTCCTCATTCATTGTATTTGCAAATATTACATCCTCAACACAATTGTCTTTAAAAACAAATCAGAATCTATCAGTTTTTCTGTTTGTGCTTATTTGCCTACAAAATACTGATGCAACTAAAATAAATTTACTAAGACCTATTACTAAAAATCCCATTCTCTTTTTATATGTTTTACTATTTTTTTAAATACACTGAATTCTGCAATCCGCTAGTCATTATTTACGAATATGGTATGGTTACCTGAGAAAGTCATATGTTCGGTGGGAATATTTTAATGTCAGTAAACAGTTGTTCTCACTACCGCATCAGCTTACATAATGTACTTTTCGTAGAGTTTATGCAAGTTTAGGAATTGGTTATCGTAACTAGTGTTGTACTTTGATACCTGGGATGGTCTGAAGTTAGTTGTCCGGTTTAGAGAGTATAATAATTAGAATGAACAGCGCAACCACTGAAAATCCGTTCTACATTCTCATTTTCTCAGTAACCTTATGATTTCATTTTATGAAAATAAAACCACAGACTAATAATAAGTAAATGGAAGCTATGAATTATGAAGGTAACTAATTTATGCTTCCATGTGTTGGTGTATAATTCTTTACCGTTCTGTTGTTTTATTCACTAGTAAAGCTATTCTGCATAAATATGTTTAAAAATTTGATAATTAACTAGAGCACTGGGAGTTAATTATCATATGTTTTATGGGCCTAACAAACAATCATTCCACACTTAACTGCTCCTTAAAGTATTATTTTGTTTTTAAACCTTTATGCACTTTTCACTTTAAGCTCATAGGAAGTTATCTTGCAGAAGAGATCGTACAAAATCTAGATTCACCTTCAGATCCTATTGATTCCTCCTCAAGTGAGCAAGATGTGCAAAGTCACAAAGCTTGGTGGGTGATTATACAAAGGACTGGCCATGTTGTTGGAATCCTTCAGTCGCTACATTCCCGTGCTTTCATAGGAAATCTTCAAATTCCTAGTAATTTCCAAACTCCGAAAAAAGTATCTCCGAAAGGTGACCAGAATAATAACCAATCAGAGGCCATACGTACAGATCCAGTTCTGTCTAATTGGAGGAATGCTGTGCTCATACCTACGGATACACGCCTACCACGAGTCTTCATACCTCGTGAAGCTTGTCCGGAAGGTGAGTGTAAATTGACGTATTAAAAATGTTTATCGAACTGACAAACTCTGAGAAAATCGAAATATACTTATCTCAAGCTTATATCTTTGTAAACTGTCAAAAAATCGTTTTCTTACTCTTTGATTGCTACTTATTTTAATATAGGATTCCTGAAAAATCCCGAAACCTACAAAAACGTTCGTTTCATTGGTCGTATCACTGAATGGCTTGATTCAAATATGTTCCCGAAAGGGTAAGTATTTTTGACGTGTTAATGTATGTTTAGTGAGAATTTGTTAGTTTTCTATTTTTTGTAAAGCAACAAAATTTTCTTCAATCATCGCAGTCTGGATGAAATTCTGCTGAATGTTAGTCTCATTGTCGTATTCTGTTGTATTTCGTTTCTGTTGAAGGATCAAGATCTAAACATTCTCAGATTTCTGTATTTTAAAAGTGAAACTATTAACACAAATTTGTAACCAATGGCGAAACTGAGGAGCTTTCCGATTCCGTGATAGTACCAGTAAACCAAATAATCGTCCTCATAACACCAATCAGTCGAAGTTTTTTAAGTGTGTATGTTTTTGGTAAAATTTCAGTCTTTTCTGGATATCATGACCCACTGTTGGAAATGTTAGTGTATAGTTTCATTAAGTGCCGTTGTTTATTACACTATAATTTCAATGTCTAGCTTTTACCACCATTTCCTTCATCATAGAAATGCTGTTCCCCAGAGTAATTACTTAACCAAATAATCAACGTTGTGTTATAATTTCCCTGTTGGTTTCAACTATAATTATTCTTTTTTTTGTTAAGATATTCGAACCTCAGGAAAAATGAAATCTATATATCTCTGGGTCGCGGGTAGTGATAGAATTGAGATATTAGATAAATATGATCTGTTACCTTATTTTGTTATGTTTAAAGAGATTACGAGATCACTTAAAATCGGCGAACGGAGCTAAGGATCATTGACGCAACTACAAGACAGCTAAACTATCCCAATGTGTCCCAGCCCCGCTAACTAGAGGGAGAGGTCCAGGTTCAGATGATGTGAAGTACATTCCACAAGCAGCCAGAAGCACGAACGTCAACAAGCATACAACTCAAGCGTATATACACAGCATAAAAACGTCCTTAGGAGACGTCACAAAATAGCATAATAATAGAGGCAACGAAATAAGGACCTTTAGGTTCCTTCTAAGTGGGAAATACAATCTGAAGGTAAAAATTAGCGCTTTTGGCTCGAGAACGAGGAATTCAAATTTCCAAAATATAATTACAAAAACAAGATGTTTACCAAGTGATTCCTGGAGATCCTGCGTCCCCAACACATTGCTTATTCCTTGAGTAAATTCCAAGTTGTAACTATTTTAGTAGTAGCTCATAAATGAATAATATTTTTCTTTGTTTAAAATGCTTAAGTTATTAACTAAATAACTCATTATTTACATTTATTCTGTAACCTCAATTGTTAACATGTTTACGTTATTATGTTGTTAATGATCGTTGAGCTGTCGATACTGGTTTGAATATCATTGTTTATTTGTGCTATATAAGAAATACTTCAGTTGCCTTGATAAATTCATTTCGTGTAAGGATTTTTATGGTTTTGATTTGCCTTTTTTTCGTCAGGGAGTTGTTACGAGAATTGTCCTGTGACTCTTCCACTCTGATTCAGGATGAAACGGATAGGATTTTAGTTGGCGCAGGATTCATTTGGGGTGTGGATGCAGCTTTCCAGTTTCCTGATAGTGTCACTGAATCAGTTTGTAAGTCTGTTGATGACGTGAATGCTATTCGTGAGAAGGATTTTATTTTCCGTAAAGATTTTCGAAAATATTGTGTTTTTACGATTGATCCCAGTACCGCTAGAGATCTTGATGATGCTTTGCATATTAGACAGTTGGAACCAAGTGAAATAGAAAAATTAGAATGCAGTGGTTACCGAAACGCATTTTACGAGGTAAATAAGAGTCCTGTTTTATGATTCCATTGACAGGTTAAAATGAATTTTGGGGATGAGTAATTTTCTGAATGTTAGTTAGTTCTAATTTAACCCCATGAATTTGTGATGATAATCTTTAATGGTGTGTTTCATGGTGTTGAGTCACGTACTAACTCAGTACTGGATTAATTTTCTGTAGTACCATTTCCAATTATTTGTGGGAAGACACCAATACTTTTGTTAAACCTATTTGGCTATATGGAATATGAAGTACATTGATTACAGTAACTGATAGATGGTAAACTGTTACTACCTTTGTTATGCGTCAAAATAGTGTTTCATTCTTCCAGCTTGCCTACATGGAATCGAGTTATGTGGATCCCTGTTATCAATCTCTAAACCTTCAGTTAGCACTATTGATTGTTTCAACTTTATATAGGTCAAGTTATCTTCATACTATGACATGCCGTTGGCTAGTACTTAAAGAAACATGACGTGTAGTTTTCATTTAAAAGTGTAATCATTCGTCAGTTCATAGCGCGAAACAATGTTTATGAAAAAGTTATCTTTGAGGCATCATTATGGATGTTCTTTATCTGATTAATTCTGATTTATGTTGTGATTTTCGTTTTGCTAGGCGTTTACTTCTCAAACTCTTCAGACTAAATATGTTAAATGTTTAGAGTAGTGTCTGAAAAACATGTTTTTTAGTAATTCCTGAGATGTTATTGTTCTCATACGCGGTTAACCCTTGTATATATTACTACTCATAAATTGTTGACATTGTTCATCTTCCAGATTATATGTTTACTTGATTGGTGTGTCGCTCAGTAATCAACAATTAGTATTTTTGTAGGTTCTGTTTTTATTGGATAGTATTTAAGAAATGAGTTCATTTGGACTACCATAGGTATAATAAATTAATGAAGTGCATAGAAAATGTCACGAAGAAATTTTGTGTTTTGTGACACAGAATAACACATTACTTGTTCATCTATATTATTTTTCCCCAGGTTGGTGTACATATAGCTGATGTTTCATATTTTGTGAAACCAGACAGTCCAGTTGATAAGGAAGCGGCATCCAGAGCAACTTCTATATATTTGGTGCAACTGTGCGTGCCTATGCTTCCACGTCTACTCTGTGAAGAACAATGCAGTCTCAATCCAGGAGAAGATAAATTAGCGTTTTCTGTGGTATTCACTGTAACTGAGGATGCCAACGTGAGTAAAACAAACCTTTTTACTGTAAAGAAATTGTAATATGTAAATTCATGCTATACAATATCATTAGTGCATCACTTAAATATGGATGTAGTGTCTACTTCAGCTCATATCTTTCATATAGTTCGAAAACGGATATGGAACTGATTTTAAGGAGCTCATTTGTCTACTATTGTTTTTATCATTTAAGCAGAATAAACTGATATACAGACCAATTTTAAGTAGAACTTACTAAGATGAGGCGTTGGTCCATCAGTTAGTCACAACGTAGAACTTGTACGTATGAATAGTAGAGGTAGTGATAGTGTCAGTGGTAATAGGAAAGATTAGACATCGAAGATACGACACTAAAAGAACTAGTGAAATAAAAACAAAGTTACAAAGAATTTAATCTTAGAATTTAAATGAAGACAAGGGATGGCTGCACCTGCTTCATTGCTAATGATTTTGAGCCATGTCATTCAAAGTCCCTAACCATTGTTTACGACAATAACGCGTACCCTAACCAGGGAATCTTCACACGGCTAAGTCCAATTAATAGTAATGTCATGGACTGATTCCATATTTTGATTTGACTACCCCTTGTTATTTTCTAGCCTACTTCTGCACCAGGACACATGACCTATCGAGGTTGGCGGTGGTTGGGCAGACGTAACACATACCCCAACCACCTCAGCTGATGAAGATTTACTACCTCATCAGTCGATCTCCCTTTTTTTACCTGGTACTCTATTTCCAACCCGGGGACTGTTTGCTCCGTGGTCCCAAAATACATGAGCGATGCTTCGTAGACACATGATCGAATATCAATAACTTACAAGTATCCTCTACTCTTAATGGTCATATTTCACATCCATAAAGCTAACTGCTGCACAATAAGCCTTCCCTTTGGTTAGAGGATGGATATCTCGCATACACCACGAGTGACGCAGGCTGACAAAAGCCAATCGAGCCTTCTGAATCCGTGTCGAGATTACGTCAGATACCAGACCATCAGGACTAATGAAACCCCCAAGAAAAATGAAGTGGTCTATGGATTCAACTACTTCACTCCCTGTCATTAATTCAGGCGATGGCGCAAGCCAATCCTAAAGTAACATTTTACATTTAGAGGAAGAAAACCACATCCCAAACATTTTGGCATTGTTGTTTAAGGTAGTCAGAGGACTACATTTTGTTAGCATCTTCACTAAACAGAACTATATCCTTCGCGTATTCTAAGTCAACAAATGTGTCTACTAGTAGATGAATCCATAAAAGTCAGATGCGTTGTTTCATGTTACCTAAAGTTTCAACAGTCAAGTACAGCAGATCAATCCGGATATATACGTGATATTTTTAAAATCATGAATGAAAATTGCTTATCTGATTTACAAACTGTCCGAACGAAATCATCCAACTTAAAAACGTGATTCATTAAGAGTGGCATGTTAATGAATATATAGTGAAATATAAGGGATAAACTCATTTGGATTATTGTTCTAGATTTTTCTTGACACGAATTCTATGCATCACATTTTGAGTAATGATGGCTTTGTTTGTACAAAAATATTAACTACATTATGATTCTCAGTTTCTTGCTATAATAATACATAGCAAACCTTAAGTTATTGATTTTGTTTCTTGACCTCGTAAATTTCTGTTTTGTGTGCCAGGTGAAATTTATGTATCAAAAATTTCTTCTGTCGTAATATAGATTTTAACAACATGGTTTGGCCGTACATTTATTCGTTCGTGTTGCAAACTCAGTTATGAAGATGCTCAGGTCAGTCTGTTAAATGACATATCTGATTAGATTGTATTATTATTATTATTATTATTATTATTATTATTATTATTATTATTGTATTACTGTATTATTGTATTATTATATTCAACCATTTTACATTTTTTAACCATTGAGCTGCCAATTCGAACATTGCTTCATTTATCTATTTTGATGTGGAAAACTAGATAGTATTGATAACCATGATGACGTAGCTCAGTTTAGTAAGTGAACATGTGCTTATTTATCGAATTACATCAATAATCTTTGATTCGAATATTAGTGTTTGTTGCATTCGATAGTTTTTATATCTTATGAACTTTTGAAGTGCCGGATTTAAGTTTTCTAGACCTAGTTAACTGTGGTTTTCTATTTTTAGATAATGAAATTCCGAAAAATATACTGCATACGTTATGTTTAAATGTGTTTCGATCATTTCCTATCATATAAAATTTATCATCTCAATATTAATGTCATTCCACACAATTTCAGGAATTTATTGATCACCCTGATAGGGACTGGTCGTCCAATGAATTTGTCAAGGTAGAACAACCATATACCGTAATGGACATTTGTAAAAATGTCTTGAAATTAAACGATGTAAGTGTTTCTACTATAATATATTTCTCTAAACATTCTTCTTTGTTGTACTTCCTTGTTCGTCATGATATCAGTTAGATTGATTATATTTGGAAAACATTGATTGGGTCATCACCATTCTTTGTTTATAACATTGGTTTTTTTCCGATGCAAATCAGTCTGTTAAACATGTGTTGTACACTAAGAGCATGTCAATTCGTCAAATTGTTACAATTTTATAATTCTGCAGTATCTTTTTCTAATGGAAACTATTGAATAGTTCTTATATGCTGGTCAATTTCGTAACAACTATAATTTATTTCTCATGCTTTAGCTGGCTACTAAAATGCGTAAAAGTCGTTTTCACTCTGGAGCGCTTCGCTTAGATCAAGTAAAATCTACCTTTTCTCTTAATAAAGAAAATGGACTACCATTGGGTATAGCCCCTTACATTTCGAAGCAGAGTAATTGGCTTATTGAAGAATGGATGTTAGCAGCAAACAAATCAATTGCTGAACGCTTAGCTAAATACTTACCCGACTCAGCTTTTTTGAGACGACATCCACCACCATCTGTAAAACAGCTGACCGAAGTTTCGTCTAGTCTAAGTGTTGCTGGGATAAATATTAATATTGATTCTGCCGGTTCAATACAGGTATATATTGATTAAGCATTTTATATTATTTCAAAATTAAACTACTATACTATATACGTTTTTGCGTTTAACAAAATTTCACTTTGTTGCTAATTTTTCCCTAGTTTACCGTTTTAAGGAACTAGGTCTTTAGTATCAGTAAATGATCACTGAAGCTTTTCACAATAGTAGAATTAATTCATCTGGAAAACTCAAATGAATGTTGAAAATTTAAGTAATTTGACAAACGTGTCCGAACTTGGGGGCCGTAGTCCTTCAGTTATGCAATATATGTGTGCAACAAGAAATCAGGTTTAATGTTTGGCTTAATTGTTGAATGTTGATTACCTAGATCTTAGCTTATAGATGTTACGCCAAAACGACCTTTCATTACTGCTGATAAAAAAAGTATATTTGCAATATATTTGTTTGTGTCATTCAGCATTTAAAATGAAAGTATAGTTAATTTCTCTCATGGATATCGTTAAATTTTCAGTGCAAAACACAAAGGTGTTCAACTTAGTTGAAAAATATTGAATAAAATTGCATTTAATACCATAGAAATTGTTCTAAATATATCACGTTGAAAGGGCTATGTCACTTGTCTTCAAATAGAAGTCTACGTATAATTTTGTCACGAAACCACATTCAGGATTTGAGAAATCTTTGGAAAATACATTTAGTCGCGATTCAATTCTGGTTTGTTTAATTGAAACTGTAGAGCTTTCAATTTTTGAAAAACAATGCTAGTTTCATTTACTGCTTATAGTTTGCAACTCTAATTTCAAAAGACCTATGTTCCTCAACGAGGGGTACCAAGCGTAAGTAATTTCAGTAACTATCCTCTACTTCTCTGTTTTCTGGCAAGAGAGAGGAAACTTTAATTTATTTAGGAAGCTTATTCATATCCACGCAATAAGTTTAGTTCAAACTCAAGTATAACCCATTATATACAGTCAGTGTTTATAAGGTAAAGAAATCATCTAACTGAACAATTGTCGTATATCATTAATACGATTGAATATTATGCTGAACAAAAGTTATGTAAGCAACAAATTACATTGAACTAATTAATACAAATTAATGTTATAATGGGCAAAAATTACTCTGAATTGATACGAATAGCAATTAAATAGAAATCATGTTTAAACATCAATACGTAGTGTTTCACTTAATTTCTTCCTACTTAACTGTATTTGGGTATTTAACATCCCCAACGGTACCATATCACTTACAAAACTCGTTTATTAATGGTATATGATGTCGTCTTAATATCAGCACTAGTTACTAAAAGTTTTAGAGTTTAAAATTACCCAAAATTAGTGTAACCCCACTATCTATTCAGATAGGTAAATAGGAAAATTCAGGTACAATTTTATGCAAATCTTTACTCCATATTTGTGTGTTTATTTATTTAGCATTCAATTTGCCGTGAAGCAGGTTGTAATGTCGAAGTTGGATATCACTACTCAGATGCCCTTGTCAAACTGTGTGATGGTTTTATGTCCAATGTTTTGATTCATGATGGCGATTTAATTGAAGAAATACAAAAAGTGGACCTCAACTCAGTTGTTCAAAAGGAGCAGTTACCACTCAAAACTCTTGAACATGAAGCACGACTTCTTGTTACAGTTGCTTTATTGACTAAAACAATGAATTTGGCTGTCTACTTCTGTTTAGGTCTACTACCATCCGAGTTATCGCCTTCACATTACGCTTTAAATATGCAATTGTACACACATTTCACTTCTCCTATTCGTCGTTACGCAGATGTTATTGTTCACCGGCAATTGTCAGCTACTTTGGCCAAAGAAGAGAGTGATCGTTAGTAATTTTGTATTACTGTATATCACCTCTAGTTATAACTAACTAGTCTAAATTGTTTCAGTGTTTCATTAAATGTTTCTTTGCATTTCATATTGTTAGATTTTTACTGTAAACTGCAGAATATCTGAGTACGTTACGCGAAATTTAAGTAAAGAGCTGCGCAGTCAATTTGTCGGTTGAAGATTTATTTAGATTTATGGAAACGGTTGATATATTATTCCCTCACATATATAGTTTATTTGCTTAGCAAGGTTAATTCACTTTCTTCACTCCTGATCTACCATAAAGAGTCACATTTCTGGAATGTATTTAACGTTCTTCGTTCATGACATTTAATCTTGTCTTCAGTTGTAATTTTTCCTGCATTTTTATAAAGTGAATTTTAGGATTGGTTTAGACTAATTCGTTACTGAACGCGAAGAAAATATACCTATATTAGTCTCAATTAGACTTACATAAACTTTGATATCGATATCTTAAAAGATTTTTACTTTGTATGCAATGGGTTGTTAGAGCTGTTGGGAAGTATTCCTCGAAAAAGTCCATAAGGTCCAGAAAACGCTAGATCTTTTGTCCATAAATTAACCTTGGAGTAAAGCGAATTTTGCTCACTCCGCACCTTTTCTTTTGTGTTCAACTTGCTGAGTAGATTCAGCCTGTGATTATTAGAACTATTATTTCAAATAAACGACTGAAAAATTGTGAAGATTACAAATAATCCACAATCAAGTGTAGTTTTTTTCCATATGTGTATCGATCGAAATTTATGTGGTGTTAACTGTAATATTTTTAGGTATTTGCTTACTACTACTCTTGCCAGCTATAACAATAATATAATAGGGTACAATGTCTTTTCTTTATTTCACCCTCTTCTCAACGATAGCTGAAAAAGCAGATTGGTATTTAAGTACAGCCTTTCCAAAAGAAATGACGCCAGTCGAATTGCAACAACAAGCTGAGGTTTGCAATTCTAAAAAATTGTCCGCCCGACTTGCTGGGGAAGAAAGTGCTGAATTATTCTTTGTTCTGTTTGTCAAGGTAATTGATTTTTAAGAATATATATATATATATATATATATATATATATATATATATATCATTGATTATCAAGAATTATTTCAATCGATATAAATGGATTAAGTTGTGATGCATAATATTTCTTATATCTTCCTAAAAATTAGGAAACAGGTCCATTTAACGAAGTCTGCGCTGTAACATCTGTGCTCGATCGTTCATTTGACGTTCTTATCCTTTCTTGTGGTCTCACTAAAAGAGTTTATTTACAAGTTAGTTTGCTAGTCTCATTTTTCGATTGCTCAGTTATTGTTTTTGTCTGTTATATTTCTTCGTTTGATCCTTGGTTTGTACGACAAATTTTTCTGATGGATGTTTTTGACTCAACTGGATACTTTCTGTAGTGCTGTGTTTTGATTTGGATTGTTTAGTTCTTGAGCTCCCATTGTCATCGTTATCCTAAAGAATGACTTTACAAACGCCTATATCAAGTGAAGACGAAACATATGAAAACAACTTATCACAAACCATATCATCGGGACATATTGATTAAGGACTTTTGAAATAAGTTGTTTGAAGTTCATTTTTTAAGGTAAGTCCTGATGATATCCAGAACGACAATAAAATATCTCCAGTTAAATTAAACTAAATCGCTTGAAGTGAATTATCGTGTCATTATTCTTTCAGAGCTTAGGTCACCAGTTTTTGTAAATAGATGTTACATTTTCATCTTAGTTCTCGTAACCTAATCCGCACTACTGAAAAGTATCATATTACTTCGAAAAGCCTGTCAAATGCTCCCTGGTTCACAATAATACTAAAACTACCATCGATTTGTGATGAATACTACCTGAATGTAGTATGTATAGGTATAAGTGGTATGAAAACTCACAGATTCGAAGGCTTAACTACATCACATAAATTGAATTGATATTTGAAAATGTTAAGCGTTGTAGTTTAAAAATGATAGAAGTAATCAAACCATTGCAGGTCATTCTTATAATATCAATACTATTTGCCCCTTGTTTACTAGTGCAATTCTAGTTCAGTTTAGTACTTTATCTGTTTTGTTAATTTCTTTTCTCCTCTTACCGGAACTGGGGCACAATAGTACTTGATTTTTAATGAGTAATATGTTTGCTTCATACCTATTTTCTGTCCTAACTCACATTTGTTAGTGAGTTTTACTGTTGTCTGATTGTCATATCAATACACTTTTATTTCTTTAATATTAGAATCTAAATTTGAAAAGTTATGAATTTGTTCCTCCCAAAACCGCTATGGGAAAAGCCGTGGAGAGCGGAAAACTCTGTCTTCTGTGGAATAGTGATTTATTAGAAAATTCCAATAAAAAGGGTTCGGATTCTGCAGATTGTATTCAAAATATTACTGTTGGTCCGAAAACTACATTACCAAGTTGTGGTTGCTTTTATATGGAAATCAAACTTTTTGATGTTGTCCGGTGTTGCGTTTCAGTTGATTCTTGCAGTTCAGTAGGTGATGTCAGTCAGGGTGGTCGTCAAAATACCTTATTGCCAAAATTACTTGTATGTCCAATTATTGTTTAATAATTTATATTCAAATGCACATAAAAATGCTTTGTGGACGGATATTCATCTGTTCTTAAAATATAAAATAAGTGTGATTTAATAAGGGAAAGATGCTGTTGTTAATAGTGCATACAGTGTTACTCTTTTGTAACTCATACTCTTTCTTCGTCTTCATTTGTGTCTCTTATAAGAAATTAGTAAACACCAGTAAAATAATACGGTGTATGAGTTTTCTGTATTTTAGAACATCCGATCAATGCTACGTTTCATGCGGCCTGTATTTTTGTAATGTTCCAGTAATTTGAAAATGTGATTCACTTATGACATTTTAACCAATATGAAATCCTTTGTATGTTACTTAGTTGATTAAATGTAACTCAGTTACTATGATGCGTTTACTCAGTGGTTAAATCGTTCGACTTTCAACCACTAAGTCATAGGTTCAAATCCCTGTTCATCTACTTCTGTTCGAAAGCTTTGTTGCATCATTGGCCGTTCGTTTGTATAGCAAGTTCTATTTTTGGTGTCCACTTGTACCAGATTTTATGCATAGTTAACAATATAGTTAAAATACCTCAGTAACCATTCACAAATTCACTTACTATATGTTATGGCTTGTAATACTGCACGGATTCAAAAAGCTCGTTTGGCTTTCGCTAACTTACGTCACCTATGGCAAAAGCGAGATCTTCGTCTATCGTTTAGGGGACGATTATACTTTGCAGCCATTCGTTCTGTTTTAATTTATGACAGAAAAGTGGCCATTACTAGTAGAGGATACTCGTAAGTTACTAGTATTCGATCATAGGTGTCTTAGAAATATTGCTCGTATTTGCTGGTATCACTGGGTAAATAATAGTAAGGTTAGACACACGGTATTATGGTAAATCAGTTGGTGAGGTTGTGAATCTTCATCGACTGAGATGGTTGGGCCACGTATTACGTATGTCTGAATACCGATTACCACGACGTACAATGCTAACTAGTGTTGAGGATTTTTGGAAGAAAGTTAGGGACGACGAAGCCAAAACATGATATTCGTCCATAAAGTCACTAACCTCTGTTCTGATTCATGTTGGTAGATGTAGACTACTTGGTTGGGGTTCGCGTGACTATGTTAACCAATGGTTGGAGACTTTCGGTGACATGGCTCAGAATCGATCACAAGGCTTAGGTGTATACCCTCTATGTCTTCCCTTAAACCGTGAGATTAAGACTACTTCTTTCTACAAACTAATTCATTCCCCTTCTATCATATTTACTTACGCCTGTTACCCCTCGTGGAGGACCGTAGGCCGCCTGCAAGTACGCTCCACCCAGCCCTGTCCTGGGCAATCATTTCCAATTGTTTCCATTTACTAGTCATCCTTTTCATGTCTGCTTCCGTTTCCCGACGTAGTATGTTCTTTGATCTTCCTATTTTCCGTTTTCCTTCAAGATTCCAAGTTAGATCTTGTCTCGTAATGCAGTTTGATTATTTCCATAGTGTATGTCCTATACACTTCCAACGTCTTTTTCTAGTTTCCTCTTCAACTGGAAGCTGGTTTGTTCTCTCCCATAGTAGTCTGTTGCTGATAGCATCCGGCCAACGGATATTGATTATTTTGCGTAGACAACTGTTTATAAAGACTTGTGCCTTTTTGATGATTGTTGTGGTAGTTCTCGAAGTTCCAGTTCCATATAGTAGAACTGTTTTGATGTTCGTATTGAAGATTCTGACCTTGATGTTGAATGACAGTTGATTTCAGTTCTATATTTTTTTTCAACTGAAGAAATGCGACCCTTTCCCAATCCTCACCTTTACGTTTGCATCAGATCCCCTTTGTTCATCGATGATGCTTTCCAAATAAGTGAAACTTCCCACTCCTTCCAGAGTTTTTCCATGAAGTGCGATTGGCCTGTTGTTCTCCGTGTTGTGTTAGAGGATGATGATTTTTCTCTTGTGTATGTTGGGGCATACTGATGCAGAAACTGCTGCTACACTGTTTGTCTTAACCTGCATTTATTGGTGTGTATGGGATAGAAGAACTAGGTCATCTGCAAAGTCCAAATCGTCTAGTTGCATTCAACATGTCCATTGTATTCCGTGCTTCTCCTTAGATGCGGAGGTCTTCATAATTCAGTCAACCACCAGAAGAAGAGAAAGGGCGAGATTAAGCATCCTTGTCTGACTGCGGTCCTTACTTGGAATGCGGCTGTCAGCTGTCCTCTATAAACGACTATGCACTGTAGTCCGTCGTATGAGTTCTGGATAATGTTGACAATCTCAGGTACACCAGAGTCGAAGAAGTTCCCATAAGGTCCTCCTATTCGCACTCAAACGCCTTTTCATAGTAATTGATGTTGATGTATTGTGACGAGTTCCACTCAACTGATTGTTCAGCGATGTTGCGTAGTGTGGCGATTTGGTCTGTGTATGACCGATCCTTACGGAATCCGGCTTGTTGATCTCCGAGTTGGACGTCTACTGAGTCTTTCATCCGGTTCGGCAACACTTTTGAAAACGTTTCTTTGTATCGATAGTAGTGTGATTTCTCTATAGTTTCACATAATAAAAGAATGCGTGTGAATTTCAGCTTAATTTCATGGCAGACGGATACAAGGATAACGCTTTCAGGACGTTTACAATGAATCTTTGTGAACGATAAAAATATCTTCCTATTTCCATCAAACAAAAGTGGTGTGGTCCGGTGAGATCCATGTAACCTTGTGTATACGTTTGTGTGGAAATATTGTGCCGCCTATGACCAATTTGTTGAATGCACACAGATCTGCAAATCTTCACCCGTTTTCGTTTCTCTCTACCAGTCCATGTAGTCCCATGATGTCTTCATATCCGGTGTTGTCTATTCCGAATTTTGCGTTTAGATCTCCCATCAGAATGGTGAGGTCCTTTCTTGGGCACTCCTCTTTGATTGATTGCAGCCTCTCATAGAATCGATCTTTAATGTCGTCGTTGCTGTCATTGGTGGGTGCATAACGTTGGATAACTGTCATCGTGACTCCCTCCTTTGTTTTGAATGATGCTCTGATGATTCTGGATCCGTGAGATTCCCATCCTACAAGTGCATTTAGTGCTACTTTGGACAGCATTAGAGCAACTGTCTGAGTGTGTGGAGCATTTTCCTCTTCGTGACCGGAGTATAGCAGCATCTCTCCCGTATTTAGCGTTTGTTTTCCAGCTTGGGTCCAATGGGTTTCGCTGATTCCCAGTACTGTCAAGTTGTATCTCCTCATTTCCGTTGCTATTTTGTTGGCCCTCACGGTCTCCTACATTTTCCGGTCATTCTGTGTACGTATAGTAATAGTTAGTCTGGTTGTGAATTCCGAAGAGTCTTGGCTTTCATCCTGAGGCGTCACAATTCTTCCTCAAAATCCCCGGCCAGAGTTTAAATGGTCTAATTTGTTTAACCTGGTTAGCTTTGTATTAGCAAGATTTTTCCCTACGGGATATGGTTGTCCATGTCCAACTATTCTCCTTTACCCGGACTTGGGACCGGCAGTAACTCTAAAAGTGCTACAAGCGGAGTTTCCTCCATCATATCCTTGTATGAAATTTTTTTTACTACCATCGATGTGACTTTCTATGATTTTGGTGTTCATCTAGTTGTGCTAATGAGGTACGACAGCTTGAACCGATGCATATATGTGCCTGGCCCTACATTGCAGATTACTGACTGTAATTCTGTCCTGTTTACCAAACTCAAATGAGTTAAACAAGCTCTAATTTAGCAGTTCGATTGTTTAAATACCGGTACTTTAAACACTTAATTGCCGCTGCTTGCATAATGTTGCTAGTAGTTAGAAAGTAATTTGTGTGATATTGTCAGTGTGTACAGGTAAACTCTTACAAAACTCATAGACCGTTCCCCAAAAAAATTTCACAGTTATTCGTATTTAAAGAAATAAAACATTATTTCGATCTTGTACACTAATGATCATATTCGATTACATGCTTAGCATGTATAAACATTTAAAAATTGTTAAAATTGTATTCGAGGGCTTAGTTTCTGTGTGGATGTAAGGTCAATATTCACTATAAAACTTTTAAATAAACAGTTCTGAAATTTGTTATTTTTTAAATTTTCTTTCTACCCTATTAACAGGTTACATTACTACGGTCAA